TTTTTTTTTTTGAGACAGAGTCTCACTCTTTTGTCCTGGGTAGAGGGCTGTGCTATCATCCTAGTTCACAGCAACCTCAAACTCTGGGGCTTGAGCAATTTTGCCTCAGCCTCCTGAGTAGCTGTAGTAACTTCAGGCACCCATCATGATGCCTGGCTAGTTTTTTCTATTTTTAGTTGAGATGGAGGTCTCACTCTTGATCAGGCTAGTCTTGAATTCCTGGGCTCAAGCAATCCACCTGCCTTGGCCTCCCAGAATGAGGATTATAGGCGTGAGCCACTGCACCTGGCTTCATCATCAGCTTTTAAAAAAGACATATATGGAAATAGAAATACGGTTTTTTTAAGTACTTGGTATCAATAGATTAACAAGAACAAATAAACACTGAAGCACAAAATCTGCCCCAAGACATGCAAATTTTTTGTTTCTTGGAGTAAAGATGCTTGTGCTTTCCTTTGCTTTTGCTTGCAGCCTGGATACCTGGATTTCGATGCTCCTTTTCCCCACCAAACATGTAAGGATGTATGCTGTACTGAAAGAATGTCATCTTGCATAGAGTGGAGGACATGAAACAGGGTTGGAGTTCTGTGGTTTATTTTCTTTTTAAGAAGTTAAGAGCCCATATTTAAATAAATATCCTAAGTAATTAAAAACAAAAAGTATATAGTCAGATGCCAAAAACAAAATAAATTTTTTTTTTTTTTTTTTTTAGAGACAGAGTCTCACTTTCTTGCCCTGGGTAAAGTACAACCTCCAACTCATGGGCTTAAGGTGATTCTCTTGCCTCAGCCTCCTGAGTAGCTGGGACTACAGGCACCCGCCACAGCACCTGGCTATTTTTTTGTTGCAGTTTGGCTGGGTCCGGGTTTGAACCCGCCACCCTCAGTATATGGGGCCAGTACCCTACTCACTGAGCCACAGGCGCCACCCAACAGTGTAGAAAATATGCAACATATCAGTTGAATGTTTCTAAACAAGAGTTTTAGCTTCATCTGTTAGGCATTTGTGTATCTCCAGCATGCATTTTGGAGAACATTTTATTCGGAAAATTTCCTATGGGCATTTTTCTTTGTGGGTCTCTAGGTTTCCAAATAAATGTGTTCTTGTTATTACATTTACAAATCATGCTGTACTTTAGTCAACTGTGGTTTATCTTTGGAGGATAACTAGTACATTGCATTTGCTACATTCTTCTTCTAGGCTGGGTAATCATTAAGGTAACTAGATTACAGAAGATGCTACTTGAGAAATGTAATTAGATTTTAATCGTCTCTATATTGTATGTGTGGTCTGTGTATTTGCTGCTTCTCTTTCCTCATTGATCACCAGGGCCAGTAATTCGATTCCAGGGAATAGAAGATGGAGGCCTGCTCTGGAGTGTGCATGCATTGTTAATATATGCAGGAGCTAATTTCGGCTTGTCGAAAACGAGGCCCCATATGCTTAACAGATGCTCTTCTCTTGTTCTCTAGGGTTCCGCTATGGAAGTGATATAGTTCCTTTCTCTAAAGTGGATGAGGAGCAAATGAAATATAAATCGGAGGGGAAGTGCTTCTCTGTTTTGGGATTTTGTAGATCTTCTCAGGTACAATTGAGAATAAAATAAATGAGCTTTTTCCTAGCTGTTACTTGAAATGGTGTGCATTTGATTATTCGTTTTATTTACAATATATATGTATTTCACGGTTAGGTTTTCTAAAAGTAGTCTGGGGGTTAGTGTTTCCATCCTTGATTTTTGAGAAGAAAAAGCAAGATGTAGAAACGTCTTAGCATAAATCTGAAGAATAGATTCAATTAAATCACTTCTTAGCTTTGCTGGGCATCACAGCTCATAGTAGCCTTAAAGTAACAGCCTCTAATTCTTTGCATCCTCTGAGTTTTTACATAAAATGGAGTATTTTAGAGGGTTATAGGTCTGGCTGGGTTTTGAATGACTAGAATATTGCTGATTTATACAAGTCACAATCTTTCTTCTCAATGTCCAGTGTGGAGTTCTAAGATGTGAAACTTATCCATAAGTTAATGTGTTTTTTAGATACCAGTGCAAAGGTGCATGAAATAGACACTATGAGAAATGTAGTCATTCACCATCAGCTACCATGTATTATCTTAGAAAGGTTTGTTGAAAGATTCTCAGAGAAATCTTAGGTTAAATGTTCTTGAGGTGGACAACCAAGAAGGTGAATCGCAATTAATAATTATAAAGTGTATTTTTTGCATTTTACACAAGCTTTATCTATAGAGATGAAGAGATTTTTATTGGCTCTAGTAAAGCTCAAGTGAGGATTTCATTAGAGTGAAAATAATTACCACCCAGTATTCTGGATTTGAACTTTGTGTTGCTCTAGTCCTTATGTACGTCAGTGTTAGAGCGACTCATAAACAGAAAACTGGAAGCATTTACTTAAAGTCTATAAAATTTCAATGGTGAGAATAACTTCTTTTCGGAAGTTATAGGTTTCTAGCAATTCTTTAACAAGTTACACTAAATATGCTTTTTTAAAAATTGTTCACTTCAGGGGAATTATAATCCCCTAATATTCTCTCTTAACAGACTTGTGATTATCTTTAATAAGATCACATGTTATTCCAAACTCCCTTAAACTGGAATATTGACAAACTATCCTTTCTAGATTAAATTGGCATGAAAAACTTCATTTTATATAATAACTTTTTTTTTCTGCATTGTGAGTTATTCTTTTTTAAAATTTCAAGAGGCTTTCAGTTTATCTTCTTCTAACTTGTCAAGTGTTCTGGGTATCTAATTATAAAATGAATAAGAATTTATCCAGAACTTTCCTCAAATGCTGGCTGTTCTTTGCAAAGTCATTTAGGTTTCTTAAAAGATATCATCAGCTGTTCTTTAATCAGTCAAGAACTGTTGTGGATTCTAATAGGTTAAGTAAATCTATATGAATGTAGCGAACTAAAAATATAGAATAATAGTTTTCAAATGGGGAGTAGAAGTGGAGAAGAGGGAGATTTGAATTATAAGGGCCTTACCCCCTTATAGGTGTGCCTCAGTCTTCCTGTGCTGCTGTGTTATTATGGTCAAGTCTTTATAATTTCTCTGATTTAGAAGTGGGAAGGCATGAAACACATATGAGAAACATTGCCCAATATAGCACATGGCATGTTCTTATAACTAAGCTCCAGGCTGCAGGTTATATAGATCATAGAGAAGTGATCTTGGTAGATAAATGTGGGTGATTATGATTTTAGGAATAATTCAGTATTTGTTTTCTAATTGGATAATCTTGATACTCTGCTAGATAAGTTATTGAACTTAAAGGGGGGGAAAGAACTTGCAGTACTTATTTTTGGTTTAACTAGTTTCCCTTCCTCTAATCCTGCCTCTCTCTGGATCTTCACTCCATTCTCTTGGCTGAATTGCCTCACCACTGCTCTTGGGATGAAGTCCATGCCATTTAACATTGTTCTTGATCAGACTTCATGATCTAATCTTTACTGATCTTTCTTATCTAATTTTCCACCTTTTCCCTCGTATTGTGGCACTGCACTACTCCAAGGCAGTTCCCCAGTGTGCACTGTGATTTTACATCACTTTAGACTTTTATTCGCACTTTATTTTTCTTTCTTTTTAACCTTTTATTGAGTAATTACAACATTCCAGTGAATTTACTAAGCATTTTACAGGAATTCTCATTAAATTCTCATTATAGCTTTCTCAGGTAGATGCCATGATATATATTTTATGCAAAAGGAAATTTGAAATTGAAAGCCTCTTAAAATTTTATAAAAGAAATAAAATATTCACTCTGTTTTCTCTGCCCGGGATGCTTATACCCAGACTTTTCTCTTGATTAGTTCCTACTCACGCTTTATGTCCTGACTGAGATGTTACCATTTTGAGAAACCTTCCTTGACCCCCTCGTGACCGAGCTTGGTGCCTTTCCTGTGTGTCCTTATAGCACCACGTAACCCTGGACTGTAGTACGGCCAGCAGTCAATTTCATGTCTGTCTAAGCGTCTCAAGGACGCTCATGGTATTCTGTTCTCTATTGTGTTTATAATACCCTGAAAGTGTTGGACACATACTGTGTGCTCAGCTATTTGTATGTTGACTTGAGTTAAACCTCAAGTAATAATTTGTTTCTGGTATCTGTGGGTGTTTTTAGCAAGAACATTTTGAATTATTTTTTAGTAAGGCGTGTCATTATGGTTATATATGTTACATATTTTGGATGAAAACCCAAATTTTTTTCTTCTCTCTCTTTTGTAGGTCCAGAGAAAATTCTTTATGGGAAATCAAGTTCTAAAGGTCTTTGCAGCAAAAGCTGATGAGGTAGGTCGGCCGCATGTCTTTGAGGTACTGCTATAGAATTGAGTTGTCATTTTATGAAAGTCAGTTGTTTGGGGCTTTTGTGGTTTAAAATGACATGAATTCCTACAACAGCAGTGGGAAATTCACTGACCTTTAACTGTGAAAATGGAGGAATGATAATGCATGTGGGTTCGCATGAGCACCAGACCTAGGGACATGGAGAGCAGCCAAGTAAGTGTTCCAGGTATGAATAAAAACAAGCATTTTGAACAGCACTTAGGTGTGGGAATTTCATGGTCAAAGGTTAAGGAATGTTGGGCTCAGACTGACGTTTTGATTTTCATAAGCATTGGACATTTAGTGCTGACATGTACATCCTGGAGATGGGCTTCGGTGACTGGACTACTTACCCTCACATCACGGAGCAAATTTGTCTTTTCCTCCGTCTCTCGTTCTTTGTACTCTTCCCGTATCCCAGAGGTTCTGTTTCCAGGCTGGTTTCTGCCGGGCTAACAACCCTTGACTATCATACACCTACCCTCTCTATAAATATTTTCTGTTTGACCTTTAAGTTAGAACTTATTTCTTTGGAGTTGTTGATCTAAACTGGGAGATTGCAATCTAGTATCTGTTTAAGGCAACTTGAGCAGATTTCCAAGTTCCTGAAGGTTTTGCACTTGGAATTAACAAACTGCTAGTAGGGGGCTTGTTTGGGATGGGGGTCAGGTGGTAATGTAAGTGGTAGAGCTTCTTTTTCTCCTCACTGCTCCTAAACAAAGCCTGTTGGGAATCATGGAGTTCTCCTGCCAAACCACAGCTTAATTGCATTTTTAACTTTTGCTGAAGTTTTAACTTCTACTTGTCCCTTTACACAAAAATTCTGATCACCTTACCAGAATGGCTGGGTAATCAGTGAGGAATATCATATCACTTAGCTGTGTTGGGACAGGTATTGGGTTATTATCTGGATTTGTTAGCTAAGGGCAGCCTTATGAATTATGTAATTCAAATCCAGGCTCATCCAGGCACTAATTTCTATTTATCACAGTGTCACTTTGAGATCACTCAAGAAAAAACTTTTTATCTACTAATGGCAAAGGGCTACTCTTTGGTCTCAGTTTTTGATGCCATGGTCAAAGAATGATATTATCTAATCGGAGCTTATGAGATGAGAAGGGAGTAAGGAAAGTGTCATATGAGGACTTCTAGTAAAAAAATTACAAGAAGACGATTGTGTGGGTAGGTAAGAGAGTGAAGAATGACAGAAATAATAACTCTCTTCATACAGCTAGAGGATTATCATACGGAATAGAAATTAAACTACGCTTCATTTTGGGGGGTGACGGAGAACCAAGAGCTAGTAGGTTTTGTTCAAGATGAGGAATTATTTTGTCAGTAAAATTTACTGCTTCCAATTGGATCATTTCCTTATAATGAAATATAAGAGACTCATCTCTATATCTCTCTATCTTTCTAGGCAGGGTCTTTATTACCAGTCGTCAGATACACATGTGGGTCGTTAAACTAGATGAATGCTGTTGTATTTTAACCAAAATATCTTACCAGCCTGTAGATAATTCCTTTTAGAAAGTGTTTTCTCTGAACATTAGCATGTAATTATTCTTTATATAGAGAATCTGTACTTGTATTATATAATATATGCTGATGGGCACTGTGTGTGGAAGAGAAAGGGAAGGAAAGCTTGGTTGAGTTACGTACAAGTGTAGTGTTGTGTTCTAATGTAGCCGTCATTCGTGACCCTATCCTTCCTTGCTTTAATATACTAATTGGTCTCGTCAGTGACACACAAATAAAAACTTCCAAACAAATTGAGAAGTAATCGCTGCCTCAGATTCCTATTGTGCTTGTCTGATCCTCTTTTACGGGTCTTATTAATAGAACATATACAGTCTGTGTTTGGTACATGTCTCTTTTCCATTAGTAAAAAATGTATTAGCTCAGGGAGGTCAGGGACTCATTTTTGTTTTCTCGCAGGGCCTAAGACAGTGCCTAGCAAAGAATAAGCACTGAGTAAATAGTCCTTGAATTGAACTGAAAAGGTAATGATTCCATTTTGAAATCTACAGAGGATTTTGATGGCAAGGAATTGAGGTCATAGGTTCCTACTGGAAGAAATGGGAATATACATATCTACCTTTGATACAGGTTGGCTGTCATACTGAGAAAATGACATATTGTTTGGGGAATTCTATGTATAAAGAGAGCAGACTGGGGTTAATCTGAAATGGAGGGGTGTCAATTTACTGAGCCTCGAAGAGGGATTAGATTATAGGCGTCCTCAAACTACGGCCCGTCTAGGACATTTATCCAGCCCACCGGGTGTTTTTGCCACTGCTGCCTGTCCTGCTTAGCAGCCAACTTGTCCGGGGGCCCAGAGTCTGGCCCTCCAACAGCCTGAGGGACAGTGAACTGGTCCCCTGTTTAAAAAGTTTGAGGACCCTTGGATTAGAAACTAGAAAGGCAGAGATTTTGGAAGGGGCGTTATAGCTGCGAGGAAAGGTTATGACCAAAAGGTAGAGGGGAGGGAAGGTATCAGACCTGCCCCCAGTCAATGATCAGCTCAGTGAGGCTGGAGTAGAGGAACCACTTGGTTTTCATGCAGGGTGTGGCATGATCAGCTCTGTGAACAGGGGAGACAGTGATGGAAGAGACTGGTTTTGGAGATAGTGTAAAGATAGAACTGGTAGAGTTTGGTGAACATTTGAACATAAGGGATGATGAGAAAGGGGGCATTATTGAAGACCTTGGAGCTTCTAGTTTGGTTGATTGTGTAGTGGTATTAATGGGAAAAGGAAATCCAGGAGGGCAAGGAGGGAGAGAGATACTTAGTTTGGGTCATGGATAGTTTAAGATACCTGAAGATGGCATATGAGATACTATATAAGTTGTCTACCAGCCAGTAGTCAATCTAAGCCTGGATTTTAGGACAGTTTTAAAGTTGAATATACAGATTTTTAATTCTTTAGCTCATGGGACTGGGTAAAATAATCTACAAGTAGAGTTTAGAGTGAGTGGAGGAGAGAAAGGCCAAAAGTAGAATTTAAAAATCAGTTGGGAACAGAGAAGAGCTTAGGGAGGAGTTGCACACAAGCAGAATAGTCAGGGGAGAACGTTGCCCCTGAAGCTAAGTGGAGAAAGTGGGATAGTTAGATGCTGCTATCAGACAAATATGTTAGAGACCAAGGAGCTGGCCATTAGGAGGTTGTGGGGACTTCAGAGGATAATTTCAGTAAGGAAGTGGGGGCAGTAGCTGGATGAAGTTGAAGAATAATTGTGCTCAAAGCCGTGGAAACAGCAAGACTATTATTTCATGATATTTAGTGGTGTAGAGAAGGAAAGATACAGATAGCAATTTGTGGAGCGAGAGGGACAAAGAAAGATTTTGTTTAGGAAGGCTGAGATACGAGTTTATTTATAGGGTAAGGGTGTGAAATCAGAGAAGGAAGGTTGAAGCAGAAAGGCAGAGGATTTAGTTAAAGAAGTTAAGTCTCAGAAGAGGTACAGTAAATATCATCAAAAGCAAATGTGAACCTCTGTTTCCAGTTGGCTCTGATTGAAGGGTTGAGTGTCCTGAGAGTTTAGATTTCTAGCAGACATGGTCCATGGACATGGAAATAGTAAAATGGAACTTCCAGGTTATAAATAGTGGAAGATAGAAGGACACACCATTAGAAACTGTCCAGGACAAGATGGCTGCAGGAGGGCTAAGGGGTCTCTGGGCCACAGTGAAGCTTTGAGATACATGGATGGCTTTGCAAACAATGTTTTCTTTGTTAGTGCATTATTTTTAATCCTTTTAGGGATTCAGAGGGGGATTTGCTGCATCTTTGGTAGCCATAGGGGCTAAATGTTGTCTAAGGATAAGATGCATCACTGGAGATAAAACCCAAGAGTGTCTTGGGTTTCCTAACTCTCCCAGAAAAATAAGATTTCTTCCCTATAGCCTACTTGTCTATGTGTTTTTCCCTTAAAGAATCTTAGTAAAATTTAATAAAGTAAGAAAAGCATTAAAAAGAAAAGCAAATGTGTATAGTTTGATCTTGAAGTAGGTAAAGAGGCACTTTAGGAAAAAATCAGGAATGGAAAGTGAGTAACAAGTGCTCTGAGCATTTGGTTTTGTCCTGAAGATGCCGCGTGTCACCCATGTGTTAACACAGCATCCCTCTCTGCCCAGGCAGCCGCAGTTGCCCTCTCCTCCTTGATTCACGCTTTGGATGAGTTAGACATGGCGGCCATAGTGCGATACACTTACGACAGAAGAGCGAATCCTCAAGTTGGCGTGGCTTTCCCTCATATCAAGGATGCCTATGAGGTAAATCCCATAGACCTTTCCTACTCATGTTATGTTTTTCCTTCAGCACCTTTATCGTAAGCAGTGCCTCTCAACTACAAGCATGCATGGGAGTTCACTTGGGCATCTTGTTAAAGGGCAGATCCCCATCCTGCAGGTCTCGAGTGGGGCCCAGATTCTGCTTTCCTCCCAGTTAATGATTGTGTTGTTGTTCTGTGAACCACTCTTCTGGCTCTGAGAAGAACATAAATTATAAGAGTGTTATAAGGAGCTTTTATTCAGTCGAATCAGTCAAGGTTAACCATGACCTTTTCTCACTTTTTATCCTTTTTGACTTTTTTTTTCCTTTTTGAGAAAGAGTCTTGTTTTGTTACCTTGGGTAGAGTGCCGTGGCATTACAGCTCACAGCAACCTCAAACTCTTGGGCTCAAGTGATCCTCTTGCCTCAGCTTCTCCAGTAGCTGGGACTGCAGGCACCTGCCACTACACCTGGGTAGTTTTTTGCTATTTTTAGTATAGAGAGCGTCTGGCTGTTGCTCAGGCTGTTCTCAAACTCCTGAGCTCAAGCAATCCATCCATCTTGGGGTCCCAGAGTGCTAGGATTACGTGCATGAGCCACCGTGCCCAGCCATCCTTCTTGACTTCTTAGAACCAAATGGAAAAAGAAATTACCTTCATTTTTACTATTGAGGACTATGAATAAAGGTTGAGAATGTGATTTTGTTTTGATCCTTGTGAAATTCAGTTTATTTAGGGCTATCCTATTTAAAATACAAATTCCTTACCATTTTCTCTTTCTCAGAACTTACTATAATAAGAACTAGAAAGAGAAGGCAGAATGTCTTGACTGCCGCATCAGCCCTCTGATCACCCCAGTCTTCTCATTTGTTGTATTGGGCATGGCATTGTATGGTTATCCTTTGGTAGCCTTTCTTTTAAGCATTTATTTTGTGTTTAATATTCTTCATACTATTAGCAGCTGTGAACAACTAAACGCAGAAATCCAAACATTTTATTTTTCACGTACAAGGTTTGAGCTGATTTTTGAAATATATCTGTTGTGCCACATTTCATGGCATTTGGGATCAGTTTTCCATTTTTTCATTAATTTGATTGTGTCTGTTTTACCCCTTTCTTTCCCATTAGTGTTTAGTGTATGTGCAGCTGCCATTCATGGAGGACTTGAGGCAATACATGTTTCCATCCTTGAAAAATAATAAGAAATACACTCCTACGGGTGAGTTTATGTCCATTTAGCTCACTAATTGGCTCTGCATACAGACTGTTCTTGGGAAATCACCTGTCTGCAGTCATTCGTCAGGGCTAGGATTTCACAGGGTGGGATTAGTTGGATTCCAATCGTATACTTAGACATAGTAATGATGAAGGGGGGTCAGCAGGTGTTATTCCAGTAGCAGGGAATAGGTTTGCCCCAAACCAGTGATTTTCAACCCATGTGCCATGAAAATTTTTAAAGATCATTAATTAAATTATTTTTGAAAGAAGTTAAAAGTGCAGTAAGTTTATTCTTTATGTACTCTTTTTTTTGGATCAACATAATTTAAGTGTGCCCTGCAAGTTTAACTATAGGTTCAAGTGTGCCGTGAGATAAAAAAGGTTGAACAGCTCTGCCCTGAACTCTCCAGCACTGTCCCGTTCCCCCTTCTGACACAAAGCATGTGGCCAGGGAGCAGCAGCATAGTGAATGGCCGTCTCTAATTGTGAGCACAAGGTTTGCCCCTGCTGAAGTGGAATCAGTGTGCACTATCAAACCTATGACCTTAGTGTCCTGCATAAGAGCTGATGTAACTTGGATCTGAAAAGTCACAATGTGGGAGGATAACTTTTCTTTTTGTTCTGTCTTTGTAGTTTACAGTAACAGTCCAAGTTTCACTGCTCCTTACTTATGGCTACAAGGAGTTACTTTAAGCCTGATGAGAAAGGCCTTTATTAAGCATCTGGCTGCCAATGTCAGGGTGCTATAGAATGATTCTCACAACCACAGGGCCTGTCTTCCAGAGAGCCCAACATTTAAGACAGTTGTGATAAAATATAGTAGGGGCAGAATTGTAGAGAATATGCCAAAAAGAACAACACATGATGAGTAGTATTTTAGTTTATAAAATATATTACCTGTGTCAGGGTAGGATGAGAGAATTGTGAGGTGGGTTTCAGAACTGGGTTCTCCCTGTGTATTATTTTGGGAGCAGTGTGCTGTGAAAAGGCCAAGAATTGAATGTGTCTCTAGGGCCTGTGTCTTTACCTTCCTTCTGGAGTGGAGCCCCTCTGCATCGCAGTCAAGGCAGGCAGGCGTGGACCTGAATGTATAGAAGTTGCCACTGTGTGTCACTGTATTATTCTGTCTCTACCTCTTGATAATTCCAAACTATTTAATAAATAGAATATGTTAAAGAGAATTTTATTGATAGGTTATCTTGTAGGCATAAATCACTCAGAAGCAAAAACATTAAATATCTTTCAAACTGTTGATCTGTTTTCAGTGAGGTAACATATTTGTTTACATTTTCTCTATTGAAAAAATGGATCCTTAAGGCTACTTGGCCTATTTCCTAAATAGACCGTTTGGTGGGAACATGCGATACCAGAGTGATCTGGCCTTATATGAGCTTGTAGTAGCAGGTGAAAGTGTTGGAATATTCACATATACAAGTCTTAGCTCTTGCCTTTTGCCAGGTTGATGCTGAATTAGTCAGCATAAGATGGAGATGGCTATGCTATTGCCTGAAGCCTCCCCTGTAAAGTCCAGAAACAGATAGAAATGTCTTATGATAGGCATCTGTATGCTGTTTTGTTGTGGCTGTACAAAAGGTATATTTTAAAAGGTAAAGAATGGAAGCATAGTATACTTTTCAGGAATTGCTTACTCTTTTTCACCTTTTGCCTAGAGACTGCAAATTAGCCAAAAACCGTGCTCAGTTCAACAGCTGAACTGCTGTATAAATCTGCAGAGTGAAAGCTACACGTGATAGTTTAGATAGAAGCATTTGGGGGAGAGTTGCCTTTCATCTACATTGCTTTGGGCTATTTTTGTTCAATTGGTAGAGCACCTGTTTTCTGTTAGGTATTAGGAGAGCTGTAAAGAACAGGATGTCATATTTCTGCTCTCAAAGAATTTTTAAAGTTTGAATGGAGTGGGGTAGGACATGTACACAGCTGTGCAGATATGCAGAATGGTTCATGTCATAAGATTTTGCAGGAGGAAAGAACTGATTCTGCCTGGGAGACTGGGAAGGATTCAGCTCACTCTGGTTCAGTGGTGTCTTTCTGTTAAGGTGCTGTACTTTGATAAAAGGTGTAGTAAATCCTTATAAAGCTTATGCTTCATTAGTAGAGGGTTTTCTTTTTCTTTTTAATGTTTATACCCTTTAGCTAATTATAACTTTTAAAATATTATCTCATTGAATATTATGTTTGAGTCTCTGTATGGAAATTGGATTTTGTGCGTCTATATTCCTTAGAACAGACTCTTTTGCTTTTGATATGACCCTCCATTATCAAAGGTTCAGTGAATGGTAGAGCTGGGACCTATGCAGTCAGTTACTCTAAGTAGCTCTTTTCATGGATAAGAAAACCAAGACTCAGGGTAAGTACTTATATAACTAAAGAATATTTTTGGTAAAGCCAGGACTATATAACCTGCCAATATTACCGCAAATATCTATAAATGGAAAGCATTTGTTTTAGTGGAGAATAATAGGGGTAATCATTTTTGTTTCTGCTTTTCTGTTTTTTTTGTTTTAAGAGGAGCAATTGAGTGCTGTTGATGCTTTGATTGACTCCATGAGCTTGATAAAGAAAGATGAGGAGAGAGACACTATTGAAGACTTGTTTCCAACCTCCAAAATCCCAAATCCTCAATTCCAGAGATATTTTCAGGTAAGAGAGAAAAGACAAAGCAGTCATATTTCATTTAAGTGAAAGAGAATTACATGAAAAGTTATGGTAATTGGCCAGCCCCAAATAAACATCTTTATCCTCTGAGGGCCCCATTTGCTCTATCTATTTTATGGGAGAACAACTTCTTCTTCTTCCTACTTCAAAAGATAAAAATATTCTGAGCTCTTAGAGAGAAAAGTTAAGTTAGAATGCTTTTTTTTTTTTTTTAATCTGAGAGAAGGCTAGTTTGTAAAAAATATACAGGAGGGCTTAATAAAAAGCAAATTGTTTTATGCTTTTTCAGGCCTTTCTCCATATTGTATGTGAATGAGATTTTTCTTTAATGTCAAAATAGTAAGAAAGCTTATATAAACTATATTATAATATCACCATTGTTAGAAAGAAGTGTTCCAGTGCTATACTTGTCAAAAATTTCACAAAGGTAGCATAGAGGTAAGATTAAGAGGTTATATTATGAAATTATTAAAGAGTAATTAAAATACAGAAAAGTACAAAATATGTATTTCTGAATCTTAGGCTAAAAGAATTGGAAAGTGGAGATTGGATTAAGGTAAATAGGGGAAGTTGATGAGAGCTGATTTATGCTCGGGGAGGGGGGGGTAGAACAAAGTTAGAAGTGAGGAATATTCCAGTCCTGGATTAAATTAATGAGAATAGTACATGGGCTTACCCGACCCCCGCAAAACTGAAAGAGAAATCACAAGTAGCTTTCTCAGGCAAACTTTTCCCCACAGAAGAAGGAAAGGCTCACTTTTGAGGCAGGAAAGGAACAAGGAATGTGATGGAGAGAACGTTAGTTGTCTCTTTTGAATCACTTTGCAAAACATCCTTAACTAACTCAAGTCTATATTGGGACCTGTTGTGATTCAAGGGATCCTATCATCCAAACTATTTTTTTGATGTTCGTAATTCTTTGAAGGAGCAAAAAGTGTTTGGTTCTAAAATTAGAAATATGAAGCTTAATGTATAAAGGGCTGACTCAGTGAATACAGTGATGCTCCTTGATTTATGATAGGGTTATTTCCCTGTAAGTCCATCGAAGTAGAAAACATTGTAAGTCAAAAACATGTTTAATACATGTGACTTCCCAAGCATTATAGCTTAGTCTAGCATACCTTAAATGTGTCTGAACACTTAGATTTGTCTACTGTTGGTCATCATCATCTGTTAACACAGTGTGCCATAGACTGAGTATTGGTTGATTACCCTCAAATCTCGTGACTAACCAGGAGCTGTGGCTCAGTAGCACTGCCCAGCATTGTAAGAGAGTGTTCTTTCAACTTCCCTTGAATATATATATCACTTTCACACCAGTGTAAGCTGAAAAACTGTAAATTGAACCATGATGAATCAGGGATGGTCTGGACTCTAGTATTCTAAATGTTATCAAATATAAATTACAGATTTTTTAAAAATTGGTATTTTTGACAAGTGGCCTTGAATACCTGAAGGCCTGTGCCATTTGTGAGGAAGGGAGGAGCAGACCAGCTGGACGCTTGCCCAAACAGGTCATTATGGAGAAAAAGAGAAATGTCTCCTACTTGGCAGATTGTCTAGGATGGACCCCATTTACATTCAGTAAATGTTTGTTGGAATAATGAAGGAATATAAACCTTAAACTCAGGCATTTTTATTTTTCAAAGCTGTAAGCATTGGCAACTTTGATATTTACAATTTACCAACTTTCTTTCATGGAAGAGAGTTTTTAGTATGGTTATCTGTATAAAGAAATATTTTCACTAGGGCATGTATATACATTGGATTCTAAAAAAAGAATATATGTTGAGTACTAATAGTGTACCACGTGTTAACGGTGCTGTGAGCTCCCTACTTTGAAGGATTCGTCCAGAGAAGTGAGAGGAATAGAGAGCTATAAAACCAGTAATTACAATAGTGGTGGGAAAATACAATGGGAATAAGAAGAAAAAGAAGTGCTTGTGACAAGGTAGCTTAAGGAAGACTTTGCTGTGGAATTAAGGTTTGGATGGAGTTCTAAAAGAAAAAAAAGGGATGCATGATATGAAGATGTCGCATCATGCAAAGTAGATGTAGCTTGTACAGTATGAGTAGCTTGTACAAAGGCATGAGAACATGAAGCAGTGGGGCTTGTCTGGGATCCATGGGTAGTTCCGTTTGCCTAGAGATTGAGTTCTTTATGGAAAAATTATGGAAAAGGTATCAGGGAAGGTAAGTAGCAGGTACATTATGAAGAACTTGGCCAAACTTAGTAGTAATCATTAAAGAATTTTGTCAGCAAGTGGTAATCATTAAAGAATTTTGTCAGCAAGTGGATGACCATTAAAAATCAGTTCTGACAATGGCATAGGAGATGGACTGGAGACCAGGTGTGAAACCAGCAGTGACCCTGTGAATGCTTGAATTAAAGTGGTGATGGTGAGTGTGGAGAGGAAAACAGGCTCTGCAGGCATTTAGGGGAGAATAGGCAGAACGTCAGGTACTGTATGGTAGCTGATGAGAACTAAAGAGGAACTGAAGATATCAGGATTCTAGTTTGGGTGACTGAAAGGGGGGTGGTGTCACTGTTACTTGCAATAAGGAATATAGAATAACAGCTGGAAAAGGTGATTTATGTATCTTCCCAAGTGTTTAGTTTGAAATTATCTGTTGTTGGCTGTCCTAGGACATTCAGCGGGATGTTGGAAATAGGGATTCAGAGCACACAGAAGTTAGGCCTAAATACTTAGATTTGAGAGTTTTCCTCATATAGGTAGAAGAAGAAGTGAATGAGATAACCTGTGAGAGCACACTGAGAAGGAAAGAATTGAATCTCAGCATGCGAGTGGGCAGTTAGGGATGGACACACAGAGAAGAGCTGCTAAAAAACAAAACTGAACGCTTCTAACCCCCACCCCAACAAAACTCAGAGGGATAGAAAGAACTAGGAAAAACTGGTATCTTGGAAGGCACCGGAAGGGAAGAATGTCTGGAAGGAAGTAATCCCAAGTCAGTTACTGCAGGACGGTGAGTGAACTTAGCAGGGGGTCTTTAGGAATTGTAGTTCAGTCTTCCATAACGTTAGGGACCCAGCGTCAGTTGAGTAATGGGGTGGAAAGCAGGTTCGAGAGCCTAGAGGAGAAGGGTTTCCTGATGAAGAGTTAGAGAGAACGTTGCAATCTACAGGAGGATGTGGACCCAGGAATATAAGCTTTCTTCTCTTTAGGTGAAATATCTATAGCTGAGGGTAAAGGAGCTAAGATAAGGAGGGAGAGATTAGTAATCAATTTGTTGGCAAAAGGTTGATTTTAATTTTTTTTATAACTTAGTTTATTTATCTAAAATGTGACATTGGAGAAAATATGAGAGAGGTTGATGCTTCAGAACATCACCTAGGGATCTTTTATTATTGGTATATGGATGACAACAGAGTTTGTAAAGATTGCCTGGATTGTGTACACTGAACGTCTGGAATGTTTTTTCAGTAGGGAAGGTGGGTAGGCCATTTGTCCATTGGTTGTTCTAACCCTTTTCCAAAAAATATCATTATATAACACAGGTAGACTTTTAGAGTATGTAAGAGGTAATCTGCTGTGTTGGCTGTTTGATTACCGCTTACATCTTTAGGGCTTTCTAAGCTGTTGAGATATTTTAATGAATTGAAGGAGACCACTGTGATTAAGATAATGCACAAGAAGGTTGAGGGTCGATTCACAGGTTTGGGATCATTTTGGTTTCCCCGTTTGCTTTACATTAAACAGGCTTGATGTTATTGATGCTCAAGGGAAAGTCAAGTAATTAGGAAAGAGGGAAGCAGGAGTCAAATTCCGAGGCAGAGGAATATATTCTGGAGAGGAAAGAGTTGGGCTTGGTGGTTGAAAGTCAAAGGGGTCCCACATGGCACTTCTAGAGGAAATTGGTCATTAAAAACCTTAGAGTTTTCTGAATTAATGGGACATGGACTGTTGGGTAATATTCATTATGATACCCAAGCATCTTTTATTCTTTTTTTTAGAATGGAAATTTTATCTTACATTATCTTCAGTATAGGGGAAGAATCCATGGGATAATATAATTCATACTTTATGAAACAGTGTTTTGAAATTGCATGAGCTATTCATTCAGCTCCCTGGTTTGTTTTTTGTTTGTTTGTTTTAGGGGTAGGTTCTTGCTATATTGCCCAGGCAGGCCTGAGCTCCTAGGCTCAAGTGATTTTCTTGCCTCCGTCCCCCAAGTAATTGGGACCACAGGCACATACCACCATGCTCAGCTGCTTTTTCCTTCAGAATTACTAATGTGTAAGTTGTTTAAGAGTATGAGTAGTTGGATCTTTATTCTCCTACATAATTTTGGAATGTATCAAAGAAAAAAAGTATCAATGAACTGATAGTTTTGTTTCATTTCTTCCTCTTTTATTTTTTAATTTTTTTAATGGCATCTCATCTTAGCTTTTGCTACTCCATGTGGGGCATTTCCCTTTCTGGGTAGAGATGAGTACTGCCAAGACCTGGGTCAGCAGTCAGGCCATGCAGGTGACTGAATGGAGGGGCCTTGCTGAGCAGAGCTCCCTTCACATGGGCTGTGGGAACCTGCTGTGGCCTTGGTCTTGGCCCCACTCTCAGTGTTGCTTCCAGACACCTCTGTCAACAGCCAGAGCCCTGGGAAAGAGCACTTTATCCCTTCAACCAGTGTCTGCTAGGCGCTTATTACGTGCCAGGCACTACTTTTGGTGTTTAGAATTCAACAGAAAGAAGACAAGATCCCTACTTTCCAGGAGGACACCTAAATTTAGTAACAAGTAAATTAAAAAATAAGAGACATGGGTAAGAATGACTGGGTGGTAGGATGGCATGGAGGGGCTACTTGTTCCTTGTCTCTGAGGAGTTACAGATATCACATATATTGAGCTCAAATACAGGGTTGCTATAAAGATCATGCTCAAATCTAAATTTCATGCTATTTTAAATTGCACATGAACTTTATGGCCACCCTGTGTATATGCTTATATATATGAGCAAACATCGAATGATAACAATGAACCAACTCGGTCAAGGTCTATGGAAAGACAGAAGAGCCAGAGGAGACCAGGACCTGAAGGCAGGATGAGCTTGGTATGTGAGTGAGCAGGGTTATGGGGGGCGGAGAGTGGGCCATATCATGTGGGACTTCCCAGGTTATGGGAGGAGCTCCTTCTCAGACCCCTTAACCACAAGGGGATAGTTGGGAGACCCGTTGGCCAGTGACTGGGATAGACCAGAAGAGAGGCAATGGGACCCAGGCAAAAGTGATAGCAGTGAGGAGGTAGAGAGGTGGACAGACTTGTGGAGAAAAGTACACACTTCTTGGGAAGTTTGAGACAACTCAGTGTTCTCATCCCCTTCACTGACTTCTTCCTGGGATCAGTGAGCATAAGCAGCCCCCTTTAGCCACCTGTTCCATCCACCACACACGATTTTGCAAGATTAAGTGAGAAAGTGCAGTCTGATTAAAGGAAGTAAAAAGACTATAATGAAAAAGTTACAATCCCTGATTGTCAGAAGCTCTCGGAATTAGGTTTTTTAGGGGACCTTATATATTCCCCAAGTAGTTGAAGCAACAGTTTCTTTTGATAAGATGAAGCTTCTTTCCAGGAAGTCTATAGAAGACATTGCTGCTAGGCTTGGAAGTGCTTTTACAGTTGGTTTTAGGCATTACTAAAATTGCTAATGAAGCTGGTTCTAGGCCACCACTCTTTGTTGCCTTTTACATATGAAATGAATCACTTAGCCCTCTCAAATTGAAGAGGAGGGATCCCTGATCAGAAAATATAAAGAAGCCATATATGACGCCTCCATCTGTATTTTAAAATCCTTATACCTTTTCCAACAGTGTCTGCTGCACAGAGCTTTACATCCCCAGGAGCCTCTGCCCCCGATTCAGCAGCATGTTTTGGATATGCTGGATCCCCCCACTGAAGTGACAGCAAAATGTCAGATTCCTCTCTCTAAAATAAAGACTCTTTTCCCTCTGACTGAAGCCATCAAGAGAAAGGCTCAAGTAACTGCTCAGGATATTTTCCAAGACAAGTAAGTACTCGGTGGAGTTGCATTTAACATTGGAGTGCAGGAGATCTGTGGTAGTGTAGGCGTGGCTCTGGAGATAAGGTGTTGCGTAGGGTCTGTGGCATTGCAAGGGTGGGAGGAGGAAACCGTGTGCCATTGGCCCCTGCAATGAAGAACGGTTTTCTTTTATCTGTCCCAGATAGTCATATTTTATCTTTGCTATTCTCCTGGAATTTAGAGCTACTTACTGGGGGGTGGAGGGTTGATGTTTTGAACATAGCAGATTCTCTGTGAGTGCATACAGGAAGACTAAGCAAAGTTTTTGAATAGCTGAGGCTAAATTTTAGCCCTTTTGAAATGAGGTGCTGAGGACGAGAGGATTGTATTGAAGGTCATAGGTTTTTTGGTTGGGAGGTTAGATGTCAGGAATATCAAGGAGATTTTTGGAGGAAAAGTGGAAAGGTGAATGAACAGTCTAGCCCTTCTTTAGCTAGGTTCTGTTTAGGGTATCAGTGATATGCTTGGTTACACCATTTGGGGGATGATTAAAGAATGCTATTCATCTAATCCGTAAATCAGGCTTTGAAGTGGCTATTAGGTTTTTCCCCTCATCAGATTCTGTTTACCATCTATTCATTTCCATTCAAAACAAAACAAAAATAAGCCAGAAGAAATTGTTCTTGATTATTCAGAATTATTTGGCTATGTAACATTGATTTTACCAGGTGTAGGCCAACTGGTTATTGGTGACTTTTTTTTCCCTCACACCAGAATAATCTATGTATTTCTTTAGACTGCATTTGGGTGGGGTGGCGCCTGTGGCTCAACTAGTAGAGCACCAGCCCCATATGCTGGAGGTGATGGGTTCAAACCCTGCCCTGGCCAAAAACCGCAAAAAATAAAATAAAATAAAATAAAAT